GGGGGGGGGGGGGGGGGGAGGGGGGACAATTGCAACAGTCAGACAAGAAAGAGTCTTCCGTGCATCTGTTCACGAGTCACGGACCGGCTGCGTGGAGCAGAAAGAAGCCTCATGCAACTATGCAGGCGCGTGCCGGTATATGTTGCAGCAATGTACTACTAGACTACTACTAGGCCTACAGAACGCTTCATATAGCCGCGGTTCTCATTTATCCATGGAGCAACGTCAGGGTGGGCTGGCTAGACAATTGAACTGAACCGAGGATGGGATTATCCCGGGTATCTGTGCGTCGCTGCACCCACGCCTTGCTTTTCTGTCCGTGACAAGACTTGATTTGACCATGCAGCATTCAGATTATGGCTGCTTTTAACTGCTGACGGCTACACCACACTCACACCTACTCATCACGATCGACTAGCAGGTGTTGCAGTCTGAGTGCTGGCGGGCAAAGAGAATAGAGCGAGCGGCCCCTACGCAGCTTGCCTGCACGCAGCAACCAACGGAAGGAGGGGACGCGCCTAGCACCCCGCTAATCTTAGGTGCGTTCACGTGACTACCATGGGCGTGGCCCGAGCCCTCGTTGGCCTGTCGTGAGTTCTGAGCCTGAAGCATCATGATATGATATGGGACAATCACGAATGCCGTCGTAGTCACGAGCCTTGACCTCTAGCTTTGACTCCACATGTTCAGCGCAAGGATTGCTCACACAAGCAGAGATCGCACAGCCATCCACGCTCGAACTCGCCAAATATCTTCTATTCAGCACACCGAGGCAATATTGAGCGCGAGGGTCGCAGCCAGCTACCATCCATATTCATCGTTCATCGGCCAGCCTCGTGAACGTCCCCACCACGCTCTTGGCCCTCGATTTGGACAACCAAGGAGGTGGACCGCGCAGCTCCGCAATCCTCGCGATCATGACCACCCCCAGCCAAGCTCTGCCAGAGCACTGCTTTTACTGTTTCGATGTGCTCGAGGCGAACTTGCTGGAGGGAACATCGACAGCAAAGCCCAATTTCGACGGTGGGGAAGAGGCATTGTACGTGTAGAAAGCGATGGTTTCGTGCTGTGCCGCACAGTTGCGATCGAGACACAGTGCTGATGTGAGAATGGACGTACATTCAGTCCACTCTTTGTGACTTGGAACACATTGAAGGACGGGTCGACCAGACTGAGAGGATGCATTGGCACCTTTGCTGCCAAACCTTTGGCCAAGGGGCTCGCAGAGTATGCGATAATTAGGTGAGGCTAGAAATGCTGAAATACTCAAAGCCCGGCATCATCTTACACAGCTTATAAGGGCTGCCCGTCTCTCTCAGTGCTTTCGAGGACACCCGCTTCAATCCCATTCGCGAGCGGGAGCTTCCAACGCTGGAGTGCGGGTGAGCAAGCAGCTACTTGGGTCAGAATAACCTATCAGCCTGACAAACCGACCTGCGCACTATGGCCGCGATGTCACCCCGTGACGCAGCATCTCGCTGCTCACAGCTTTCGAAGAATGCTCAGACTGGCAAGATTGGCAAGTAGGCCTGCACGGCATCTACATCCACCTGCCGGTGCAGAACGGTTCGAGGCACGAGTTGACGGCTACATTCCTGCCGGATGTGATTCCGGCACAAGGGTGGAACAAAGAAGAGGCCATCGATCACGCTATCCGAAAAGCTGGATTTGTTGGCAAGATTGATCAGAAAGTGAGGGAGAGCTTGCGCGTGAGGAGGTACAGAAGCGAAAAGGTGTCGAGAACGTACGAGGAATGGAAAGCGTGGAAGGCTGCTCGCCAATCTTAGCGCTGGCAACTCAAGTCCAAGCGCTTGTCCAGAAAGCACAGCAAGGGATCATGACGACTGATTTCCGTTCCAAGTCTCATTTTTCCTAAATCGCACGTAACTTAGAGCTCCGAATAACATGATCGCATCACAACGACAGCACTTATCGCTGACCACTTCATTTCACTAATGCACGAATCTTGACCCGCTTTGTAGCAGCAATAAGAATTACGCAGCGTTGATGTTGTCACCATCGTCACGCCAACATGCGCTTGTAAACGATATTGTCCGTCTCTTCCTGATAAGTGTAGCCCAGCTCGTCCAGGTAAGCGTGGAATGCATCCGCATCCTCAGGCGGAACTTGTAGTCCCGCCAACACCTTGGAAGTGTCGCTGCCGTGATTACGATAGTGGAAGAGGGTGATGTTCCAGCCTGCGTGCAGGCCCTCCAAGAAACGCTTCAACGCTCCTGGTCTCTCAGGGAAGACTGCGAGCAGGGCAAAGAATAGCATGTTACGTCAGATGACTCCTCGTAGCGAGCAAATGTAGCGCTGCTCTGCAAGCCGCCGGCGTTATGAAGCAAGGGTAGACTCACTGAACTGGAAAAGTCGCACATTCTCCGCTTGCTTTCCAGACCGACCTCCGACCATGTACCTAGCGTGCGATTTTGCCATCTCGTTATCGCTAATGTCCGTCGCGCGCATCGTGCCGTCCGCCTCGATCGCTCTCATGATGGGGTCCAGCTCTGCGTGCCTTGCCCTGCTCTGCTCAAGAGCCACGGGTTCCATGAATGTGGTGGGTGTCGTCGGATTGCTCTGTTGCCTAGACGCGGCTCGGTAAGGCGAAGGCGCCCGTCCAGGGCTGTCGGTACCTCGAATTGATGGCGCCTCTCTGTGCACCGCGTTGGGACTGGGAGCCGGAGCAGCAGCTGCAGGCGCTGGAATCGCGCCGGTGTTGTTTCCGCTCAGCATGAAGGAGAGATAGATGTGAGCTCTGTCCGTATCCCCCATTCTGTACGAGAACTCGGTCAGATTGCGTGGCTGGATATGCGCGTAGAGTTTCAAGAAGCTGCAGAAGAGGGAGTGTGAATAAGCCGAGATGGTCGGTGTCGCAATGATAAGAGCTTTCACAGAGGCTACCAGAGGTCTCACCTGCCACGTTCCTCCGGAATGTCCACCATCAGAAGCACCTCCTTTTGGTCTCCTAATTCGGCTCGTTCGGCGACGAACCGTAACCTTGAGAAGTTCATATTGGCTCCGCTTACGATAGCTGCAAAGCGCTTGCCTGAGCCGTGCAAGCCTTGCTCGGTGACGTATCGCTTCATGCCTGCTACTGCCAAAGCGCCTGCTGGTTCCGGCACGGATCGCGTATCTGTAAAGGGAGAGGACTAAGTGCCAGTCACAGATCAAGCTGCGTCAAGCTCCACGGCCATCTCTCACCTTCAAAGACATCGCGAATGGCTGCACAAATCTCATCCGTGTCCACCCGGACGATGCCGTCCACCAGCTCCGCGCATACTCTAAAAGTCTCTTCGCCGATGATTCGAACCGCTGTTCCATCGGAGAACAGACCGACTTCCTTCAACAACTCCCTCTGCCCCTTGACCAGGCTTCTAGCGAGCGCATCTCCATCATAGGTTTCGACGCCAATGACTTTGACGTGTGGTGGGGCAATGCGCTTCACGTACGCTGCGATGCCTGCCAGCAAGCCACCTCCACCCACGCAGACAAAGACGGCATCTATGCGGCTCATGTCCGTCTGTCTGCAAAGCTCTACGCCGACGGTGCCTTGACCAGCAATGACCAGGGGATGGTCGAAAGGAGGAATCAAGGTCAGCCCGTAAGCCGAGGCTAGCCTCCGACATTCCGCTTGAGCCCCATCAAAGTCCGTGCCGTGCAACACCACTTTGGCGCCCAGTCTGCGCACCGCGTCCACTTTGATGGATGGGGTGCCCATCGGCATGACGATGGTGCAGGGGATGGACAAGTGCAGACCTGATAGCGCGACACCTTGAGCATGATTGCCTGCACCAGCACACAGCGCATGAGGTGCGCAAAGAAGTGAGTATGCCTGAACCTCACGGGGGCGCGCTGAACGAGTTGCAAAACTTACCAGCACTACATGCAATGACGCCTTTCCACTTGCTCTCGCCTTGCAGACTCCTCATCATATTATAAGCACCTCGAAGCTTGAAGCTGAAGACAGGTTGTAGATCTTCCCTCTTCATGAACACATCACAGCCCAATCTGCTAGAGAGGTTGGTAGCGGTCTGGAGCGGAGTCGATTTGACCAAATCGTACACGTCTGCGCTGAGCGTCAGTCGAAGGTAGTCGGGGGTTCCGTCTGCCAAGACATGGTGAGAAGGCAAGTCGTAGGACTGGGTGCCGCTTGACGATGATTGCGCTTGAGCCTCGGGAAAAGGACCCGGTTGCCAGGCCGGGAGTCTGCTCGTTGATGGGGCAGTCATGGGGACATGCGATGTGGGCAGGCGGCTCGCTCGTACAAAGGCGGATCGTGGGTTATCGGCCTTGCGGCTTGAGCGAGGGGATGAGTCGAATGTGATGGCTGATGAATTCCTGTTCAGCAGAGGCGGGAGTGAAGAGCGTGAGTACTCGGGCATCACCAATGAAATTTCGCTGTGGAGGCTAAACGGTTTGTGAGTGCACGGGAGAAGAAAAGCATGAGCAATCAACGGGCTCGTTTGCATGATCCTCTGTCGTGCGAGAAGCAGCCCCCACTACGCGCTTTGGGCGGAGTTCGCTGCACCAAAGGGGGGCGCAGGCATCATGCACGCGCAGCCACGGGAACGATGATACAGCGCAGCAGTTGTGAGTTGTGCAAGGTCGGGGGCGTCGACCCAGCATTGGCAGGCCTCGACCGATGCACGACACCCACCATCATCGCATACACACGTACTACTGATACATTCGAAGCAAGCAACGCAATTCTCTGCGGACGCTCACAGCAAGACCGCATAGCTGGACGATCCCGAAACCTACCGCCGCCGTCCCCGAGCACGATCATTCGCAAGAGCTAGCCATCATTACAGCTTCATCATGTCTCAATTCCTCGAGATTGCACTGAAAAGTAAGTGAACTGAAGAGGCGTCCTGTGCCATTCATCTGCGCATGCAATGGATGTTGACGCTTTCGATCCACTTCACGCAGTTCCCGAGACGATCAAGGGATTCAGGCAAGAACGTTTGTCCCATCTTAGACCGCTTAACGAGTTCTTTGACCATCAGCGCATCTCAAAGCCCAACGATCTCAACGAGGCCACCCAGGTACGTGCTTGCCATCAGTCTCGGTGGATGCTGGAAGGACGTGTCATACCGGCCATATCAATCGCGCATTTCGTCTTTGGAGCTCTGTTGGGAAGCGAGGCGAATGATTGGTGATGGAAGGAGGAAGAGCGCCTGCAAAGCTGGATGAATCAGCGTGCTCTAGCGGATAAGGAGCGATTTGGAGAGAGAGGAGGGACAAGAGGGCAGCTACAAAGGGCCAGGACTAGTTTGTAGCTGGGCTGTATCCCGATCTCATGTAGGCTCAGCATCGCTGTCAGGTG